TGACCGTCGTCCCAGACACCCGTTTCTGGTGTGGCCAAATGCCATGCGCCGTGGGTCTGCATGTCGCCTTCCTACTCACTCGGACTAGACGAATTTCGACCTGGCCGGAGCAACATGCAGACCCCCGCTGAACAAACGTACCGCTTTCTTATCTGGCCTGCTCCCTGTACATCGGGAGAGCAGGGGTGACCACATCAAGCTGTCTCGTCCGGGGTCCTTTTGCTGTAAGCTCGTGCCACTGTGTGCTCGACGCGAGAACCTCTCCAACGGTCCAACCAGTGGGAGAGGTTTTGCATATCGCTCCAGGTAGATTCATGTCGGCAGGGATAGTCACACAGAGCGAATGCGACGGCGGGTTTGTCGAGACATATAACGACTGCGAGCCCTCTCAAACTCTTTCCAGTTTTTCCCCCCTCCAGCCCGCGTTTTGTGTTTCACGACCTTTCCAGTTGCCCTTTGTCGAGCAATAGGTCCAGCTGTGGAGAAAGCATCCGACAAGCCCACCATGACCGAAGAAAAGGTAGCACCGGCCTCGGCCGTGGCCCCGGCTACCCGCGTCGACAGCGCCGAGCCCCGCCCCTCCTACACCGGCAGCGTCACCGTCCACCCCGATGAGAAGGGCGCAATGGGCGGCGAATGGACGGAACCCATCGTCGATACGAAGGTACCGGAGACTGAAGAGCACAAGGAGGAGGATCTCTACCGCCCGCTGAAGATGGATGCGAATATTCCTCATGAGGAGAACATCCTGACCGTTCGAGCTATTGTTGTTGGCTGTATTTTGGGATCCTTGGTGAATGCATCCAACTTGTATCTTGGCTTGGTAAGTTCATTCCTCTTTCTGGGCATGAATTGGTCCTTCCCGCAGCCCTAGACTGGCCGAGAGACCACCATCGTGAACTTTAACAACCGAAATTCGGCGATATTCCTACAAATGTGAATCGTTCTGACATCAAATTGCTTTGAAGAAAACCGGCTTCACGTTTGTGGCCTCGATGTTTGGTGCCATTTTTGGATACGGAATCTTGAAGATGCTTTCGACAACGAACATTCCAATCCTCGGTGGAACCTTTGGCCCTCAAGAGAACTCCATTGTTCAAGTGAGTATGACCTGAATCCATAATGAGTGGCGGGAACACAAAACCTAACATACTTAGGCTGCTGCCACCGGTGCCGGAGGTATCGCAGGTATCTTCGTTGCAGGTATCCCTGCCATGTACAGGCTCGATCTCATGCCTAGCACGCCGGCTGGTGATATTGGCAAGATCTTCACCTTGACTCTCTGCTGCTCCTTCTTCGGCCTCTTCTTCGTTACGCCGCTGCGCAAGTTTTTCATCATTCGCACTGCCCGCGAGCTCAAGCTTATGTTCCCGACCTCGACCGCCACGGCCCTGACTATTCGATCCATGCACGCTGGTGTCAATGGCGCCCGTGAGGCCGCTATTAAGCTCAAGGCCTTGGGAATTGCCTTTGGAGTCTGTATCGCGCACCGCGTGGCATCGTACTACGCCATCGGAATTCTCTACGACTGGCACAGTAGGTCAATGCTTTTATCAAACGAGACCATTCTTAGACTGACCTTCTCTCAGTCATGTCATGGATCCACATCTGGTCCGGCTACACGAGCTCTGCTATGAACATCGAATCATGGGGATGGTGAGTGAAAATTGAGACTGGCGGTCATGTCAGTGGTGATGTTTGGCTGACACCGGACCGCAGGTACTTTGAGTGGACGACCGCTTTCATTGGCTCCGGCATGCTTATTGGCATGAACTCTGCCTGCTCCATGATGGGAGGAGCCGTTCTTGCCTGGGGAGTCATCGGACCCGTCCTGGTTCATTGTAAGCCTCTCGGAGCCTCTAGATACTCTCACTTGCCAGATACTAACAGTCATCAACAGACGGCGAATGCATCGGTATCCAGGCCTCCGAAGACCCCAACTGGTCCGGTCTCTACTCCTTCACCTCCCTGAAGCACATCGGTCAAGGCCCGCCATCCCCCCGTTACTGGCTGCTGGTAAGTCTATACTCGGTTCCCTCACGAGACGAACCATGATCTAACATTACTTAGTGGCCCGGTGTCATGATCATGGTCTGCTCTTCCATGGGTGAGCTTATCGTCCACTGGAAGATCATCTACTTCGGTTTCGCCGCCGGCTGGAGGTCAATCTGCCTCTCCATCCACGAGACCGCGATGAAGAAGGGCAAGCGCATCGAATTCTTCGCGAAGTACGCAGAGGCGGAAGAGAAGCGTGAGGCTGATGCTGTCGAGGACCCCGCGACTCCCGAGCAACAGGTCAAGACCTGGATCTGGGTTGTTGGTCTCTTCGCGTCCATCATCCTGGCCTGCATCGTCATGGGTCTGCAATGGCAGGTCAACGTTGGTGTCACCATTCTTGCCTTGGTCCTTGCCTTCCTGTTCTCTTTCCTCGCCATCCAGATCGGTGGTGTCACTGATCAGACGCCCCTTACTGCTGCTGCCAAAGCCGCTCAGCTTGTCATCGGTGGTACCACCACCGGCGCCGGATACACCGTCCAGCACGCCCAGAAGATCAACCTCATCTCCGCCGGTCTCGCCGCCGGTGCTGCTGACGTTGCTACGGCTCTGACGTCCGATTTTCGTACCGGTTTCTTGCTCGGCACCCCTCCCAACAAGCAGTTCATCGCCCAGGCCATCGGAACCTTCGTCTCTGTCTGGCTCGCGCCCGGCCTGTTCGTTCTGTTTACCACTGCCTACCCTTGCATTACGGACGCCGAGGCCGAGCACTGCCCCTTCCTGGTTCCTTCCGTCAGTGCCTGGGCTGCCGTGGCCGAGGTTGTCACCAGCCCCAACGTCCCCATCCCTCGCTCTTCCGGCATCTTCGCCATTTGCCTCGGTATCTTCTCCATTCTCCAGGTCATCTTCCGTCACTACTACCTGGTTGGACCCCGCGAGAAGTACCAGCAGTGGCTTCCTAACTGGGGTGCCATTGCCCTGTCTTTCGTCATTCCTGGTCCCGTCTTCGTCAACGCCGCCTTTGTCGGTGCCATTATTGCCTTCATCTGGCGCCGCTGGAAGCCTGCTTCCTTCGAAATTGTAAGTGCTGATCCGGCTATGTCACGTTGTTCCTTGGAACCAGAAACTAATTATTTGCTAGGCCTGCTATGCTATCGCTGCGGGTATGATCGCTGGAGAGGGTATGGGTGGTGTTATCGGCGCTGCCCTTCAACTCGGCAATGTCTCTAGTGACAGATATGGTACTGGAGGTCTGGCCTGCCCCGATAATGCTTGTTAAACTGGCAAAAGTTGTGGGAAGCAAGTATAGTCTCTGTCGGGTGTGGGACGAGTATGAAGGTCGGAGGCCGTCACCTTTCCAAAGGAGCCTGGTCTTCAGTCCGGTCCTTGCTGTCGGTTGATCATTGAGCCGCTCTGGCTGAGCTGTTGGTAGCCGAGTCCGAGGCCAGCTTCACTCCCATCATCTAGAGCTGCACTGCCCTTTACAAATATGATTGAAGATGTTAGCCATGAGTTATAATATTGTAATACAAAGATGGACCCCTCGAGGTCATGATCATACGCAAAAACCACTGTAGTAAGACCATGAAACAAGGTGTTTCCTCATTCCGACACAACATAGCCCTCCGTCCCGTCATTGCTCCACTCTATATTAACACTATCCCACTCGAGGCCTTCAAGAACGCGAACATTCAACGGCTGAATCTCGAGCTGCTTTCGCACAAACTCCTGCCTTGCCTCAGGAAGCTTGGCAACCAACTCCTTAGGGGGCCCATACAGGTTGCCAAAGCAGTGCACGCCACAGGTACGGCAAAAAGGCGAGCCATTGAATTTGCGGCCAAACTGATAGTCCAGAGCCTGGTCTTTACGGACGATACTAACCTCAGACTGATGAGGATACACACCGATGAAGCCATTCTAGGTCCCATTGCAGATTAGCACATTTTGAACACAATGAGTCGGATCATAAACTCTTCACATACGCGAACACATATACTACAATTATCTTCCTTGATCTGAACTTCGGACAGAGGCTTGCTCTTGAGCGCGATTTGAACGGCACCGCAGTCGCAGCCTCCGGTGTAGAGCGTGAGGTCATCTCCAGGAACGTCGGGCAGCGAACCGCAGAACTCAGCCGGCGCAGATGTAGATGCCTTCTCAACAAGACTATCTTTTAGTTAGCTGTGTCTAGCCTCCTACCAGTCTTGCTTAACTCACCTCAGAGAGCCTGGATACGGCATATATGCATCCGGGGCACCGGTGGTTACGATGTTTCTCCCCTTAATGAACACATGTTGGAAATCAGAGACAAGCACCCGAAAGTTGATGCCTTTCTTCCCAGCTTGAACGCCGGAAGTGTGTGTTCCGAAGAGAGCAGTGCCGCAGACATTGCAGAACTGTCGTTTTGTTATCAGCCAGTCGTCTCAGACTACATTAGTGATGCTCCTTCTACCAAGGTAAACATACCTCATGCCTCAAAGCCTCGCTATCCGATCCGGTATAAGTTGTCAATGTTTCGCTAGAGCACCCCTTTGTGATTTTCAAGCTATCACCGGCATCATAGATCCAGACATGTCCCTTTTTTACACACAGCGAGCAGTCGCAAATCACCAAGGACGGATGCTCTGGCAATTGAACCTCGTATTGGTTCACGCCACAGTGGCAGTTACCCTGTAAGGTTCTCAGTGCGGTCTCCATGGCGTTTCGACTACAATGGCTATGGGACGCGCGCCGGTGAGTAAAGCTCAGGGTTTCAGGGTGTGCTGAGACATCAGCATACTCCAAGATAAAGAAGCAAGGTCCTTATGAAATCAGAAAGCAAAGGTTTAGATTCACCATAAGCAGGCAGCAACCGACAACTTCCTGCTTACGTGGTCGGCTATCGGCACAGCTGTTCATGTCCTACTATGCCCGATTCATCGCTTGCCCCGCACTTGCAGGATTGCATCTTATGCATCACGGTGGCACGAGACTCACTTATCTAAGTCGGCGTGAACACTTGAGGTTCAAATGCGATCGAAAGCAGCGCCGCTAGAGCAGTAATTATCACGGAGAATATCAAGGAGTCCTCTGAACCAAATCTTGACCGGGACGCGCCGCGAGGATGGAGAGTCGACTCCGGCTGTGGCGCATGATGTAGGTGCATTTGTGTACAGCGTGGGCGTCAGGGTAAGCCTCGAAGAACTACTGGGGCTGGGTCTAGACCACTGAAGGTCGCTGGTCCCCGCAGCCCCCTCGTAGGGCTAAGTCTAGCATGACGAGCATGAATTCATGCATTTGACGTTTAAGGCTTGATGTAACTGAGTTGGATAGATCTACGAGAATGGCTGGACGAGTCAACGAGAGTGAGTGTGACGATTGAGGAGTTGGTAGCAGGCAGTGTGTTGATTATCATCGAATCGATGGAGCAATTTGGGATGATGTTCCGCATCCCCAACGACGCCGCAGACTGTTGTCTTGATCAGTGAAACGACAAGATGCCTTCACAATTGTCCAGGTGTTTGAGCACTTGAAGGAACCACCTATGCATTTGGTTCAATAATGTAACGAAAGGTTCGAATATGCCATAAAGCAGTGACGGTAGCGCAAGCCGTGGGCTGGCTCCGGCGACCTCCGGGCCCCCGGCGCTTCCCCGGAGAAGTGGGCCTACCCCGGCGTACTTCCGGCTGTTGTTGACAAACGATTGAAGGTACCGCACACGTCACCACCTTGATCAACTTGAAAGTATGCCACCATGATTCTTTGGACGAGTAAGGTTCAGTCCACGTGGCTTACGCACCCTTGTGAGTTACATGTGCTCATTGATTCGGGGGACTGACGGGGTTTGGGTGGCTACTGGGTCTGGTTGATCGATGACGTATCAATCCCCGAAGAATCATAGTATCATCATCATATTAATCTCTGACAGCCCTGCGTTTCTATCCAAGGTTTCCTATTGGGAAGCGAAATAATGATCCTTCTACGCGACAAGTACAAATATCAGAGATGTTTTCTTCCAAGCTCTATCGCGCTATACGCCCTCTCTGCAGCAGTTTATCTATTCCCCCCCACACATCAAAACCAGTCCAAGCTAAGAAAGCTTTCTCGACTACCAAAATGTCTACCTTCCCAACCCCGTCCATTGATCCTCCCAAGAAGGAAATGCAGTATTTCCCCGATATGACTGCGGCCTTGCCGTCTGAGTCTGGAGAGTTTCGCCGTGTTCTTTGGACAGGCTTGTACTCCCAGCTAGTCCTGATGACTGTACCTGTCGATGGTGATATTGGCGAAGAGGTACAAGTTTGACCCCCATTTCTGCCACGAATTTGACTTACAAAGCCTTAGGTTCATACCGTCGATCAAATCCTTACCTTCACATCGGGCAAGGGTCTCGCGCAGGTTGCCGGCACGGAGCAAGAAGTCAAGGCCGGCGATATGGTAATTGTACCGGCAGGAACCAAGCATCAATTCTTGAACAAGGGGCCGACACCATTAATCTTGTACACGGTTTACTCACCAGCTGAGCACAAGTCAACAACGGTTCATAAAACCAAGGAACAGGGCGACAAGGAAGAGGAGGATGGTATCGATGTAGCCCCAGAATGGAGTCGACGTAGCAAGGAGCAGAATGAGAAAGAGGGCTGGGTGAAGGGGGAGTAGGTAACTTACTGAGTGTAGATAATTACGAATGATACTGATGGCTCGACCGTAATTTCCTGGTTTTCACGGCTACGAAGTCCCTACTTCAAAGCTTGAAGTTGACAGTCCTCTCCGATTACCTAAAAAGGGCCTTATTAAAGTAGCTTGCGCAACCGTAGTGGTATGCTTTCATTGCCGAGATCCGAAAAAGCAAATTCAGCGGCCTCAGAGACCTATATGATGACAGCACTTATTAAAAAGTCTCTCTTGTGATTGCGACTTGACGCCTGATGTCAGCCAAGCTAAACCCTCGGCATCCTTCTTGAATGAACGTAAGCTTGCTAACCAGGTCATTAAGGTATGCAACGATGCACTGTTGGCGAGCGACTGAAACCTTAGATAGGCAGTCGAAAGATATAACATGCATATGTATCTCTCTCTCGGAGACGATCTGTACTCGCTTTGATGAGCGCGCGTGACTTGGAGCGGAAGTGATGGCTTGGCAACTCGGCGGAATTAAGTCTCAGTCGATTCGCAGCAGCTATCATATTGAGTTACGAAGCGTCTATCTTCTTGATAACTGATACACCAAGAATCAAAATGAACTCAAACTTTTAGGCACAAGGGTCCCTTTAGTGATGCGTGATAGGCGCGCGTTATGGACCTAAGGAAAGTGAAGCCCAGTACGTGAAGTCGTGATTTTAGGGCGACACCCTTCATTCTTTCGAAAAAAAAAGTTGCCGCCTAGTTGGACGAACGAGAAAAGAAACAATTTGCCCGACGGCTGACTAGGGATGTTCAAACAATGGCCTACAGACAAAGGTCCAATCAACTTAAGGAAGGTATATTGATCAGTGATTGTATGTCACTGCAATCAACTGTAGGACCCAGTCTTCAACACTGTGTCAGTTCGGAGAGATAGAATACCCAACGGTGGACTTCTTGGATGAGGGCTTATGTAGGGGTGAAATTGACATGAATCATATGTGGATGGAATTGCACTCATATCGCAAGGGCGCTTCATAGCTGCAAGTCACGCTTCTGGCTCAAATCGAATATGCCACCATTGTTGCTTGATTAGTCCGAATTGACTGGGTTCCACCATGTCTTCGATTCATATTGAAATTAGTATATACTGTAATTGCCTGTTTGATCGGAGAGTTTATGAGTCCGTGTCGGACATCTTGAAGCAGCATTTTCGTGAGAGTAACTGGAAGCGGCCCCGCAAAGACAAGTTTTATAGGGACAGCAGCATTGAGGCCCTCCGAATATTTAAACAAATGAGCACCACGGCCATTCAAATACTTCACTAACATCACATCAATTCATCATTCAAATTCCCAACATTGGATTTCTAGCAATATGAGCCGTACCACATTCTTAGTCACCGGTGCTAGTCGCGGCATTGGCTCAGGACTTGTCGCTAGCCCCTTGCTGAGACCATCCTCAGCAGTGATAGCTGCAGTCCGAGATCCTTCAAAAGGGCCTGCTAAAGCTCTACTAGACCTGAAAAAGACCGGAGGTTCCAAAATCATCGTCGTCAAGATCGACTCTTCCGTCGAAACCGACCCCGCGGAAGCCGTTTCTATACTACAGCGGGATCATAGCATCACCGCTTTAGACGTCGTTATCGCGAATGCCGGTATTGCCCATTCGAGTGGCCCTGTCATCAAAAATTCGACTACTGCAATCAGAGATCACCTTGCTGTCAACACGATCGGACCTCTTTTGTTGTTCCAGGCAACAGCTCCGCTACTCAAAGCTAGTAAGACTGCTGGCCCTGTCTTCGTCGCCGTTACCTCCATGCTTGGTACCATCTCCGGCATGGAGTTCCTGGAGAGTTTACCGCCGGCATTGAGCTCTTACGGAGCCAGCAAAGCTGCGTTGAATTGTTTCATTCGGAGATTGCATTTCGAGGAGATGTGGCTCACGAGCTTCCTCTTGCATCCCGGCACCGTCGCCACAGACATGGTGAATTCCATAATCGACGGGACAGATTTGAAGCTTGAAGATCTCGGAGCCATAACTGTGGAGCAAAGCGTTTCAGATCTTATGCAAAGGGTTGATACCGCGTCGAGGGATGTGAGCGGAACTTTTCAGAATCATGATGGAACTCATTTGCCGTGGTAAATCGAGTTTATGGCCTCGCAATTGACAAAGCCGAGCAAGCTCGTACAAGGATCTACATAGGCAAGACTAGAAAGTTTAACCTGTAAGATTATGAAGCCTCTCATGACCAGCGCCCCTCATCAGTTCTTCAAGGGAGCCAAACCGCATTTGCGCAGCAACCTCCGTCGTTAAGGTCCAAGTGAGCCACAACATCGGCAGAGGCACCATCGTCGCCCATTTCCCAGATCTCCACGAAGCCGGCAGAGCTATCAGTGATAGCAACAAACTGATCGCCGAAATCGCTCGGGGTGACAGCGTTTGCACTTCCACCGCTGGAGGTCGTGGGAGTCAGGAAGTTTTGCTTGTTTACAGATCCGTCGTCGTTGAGAGCCAGGATTGAAATGTACCCGGTGCTATTGGTATTGCGTGCTCGTGAGGTAGCCCAGAGATATTTTGCGCTGTGCGACAGAGCAACCTCATCTGACCAGTACTCGGTATCATTTGCGCCTTGATAAGTAGGCTGTTAGCAACATGAAGCTTCTCAAGGATGCGGGAAGCTATAGTCAGACTCACCGTCAGGAATCAGAGGGTATGAGATATCAGCGTATGCTGGAATACCCGTGCTGGTGTCGACTTTATAAACTCCGACCTCATTCGTCCCCTCATGAACGACGTAAAGATAGTTGCCAGTTGGGTGAACAGTGCCATGCCGAGGATCGGCGCCTTCAACAGGAGCAGTAACATTGGCGACATACGTCAACTCTCCCGTGGTGTTGTCGACAGAGTGTACCCAAATGGCGTTCCCCGTGTCATCAAGTGAGTACATGAATGCTCCTGCTGGGTCGAAAGCAGTACCGTGAACTCCAGAGGAAGAGGAGTAGTTGTACTCTTGAATCGACTCAACGAGAAGACCATTCGAGTCTACCGACATGACGGTTCCACAAGCACCAAATGGTTGACCATAGACTGCATATGGGGAGACGGGCAATGGCCTGACGAAAATCGAGAGTTGCTTGCACGCTCCTTGGGATGTCACAATATTACCGGGAGAGATCTGAAGATCATCGGTGAGGGGGTAGCTGACGTAGACGCTACTACCTGTGTCTTCGAAAGCATTTCCATAGATGACCTTCTTGTCATGCTAATTCCGTGCGTGAGTCACTGACTAGTAAAAAGGGTCCGGATTACTAACGCTTAAAGAAATCCATGAGCTGCTCACGTTTACAGACGTGTTGGCAGCTAAAGTGAGCGTGCGGGCAGCATCCTCAAATTCCAAGGTGTACAGGTAAGGTGTACCGAACGTTCCGACTATCAGTTGATGGTTCAGGGCGTTCGTAGCTGCCATAAAACCTGATGCTAAGAGCACCGACTTAAGGAAGCTGGAAAACATAGTAGACGAAGGAGAAGTCAAGGAGGTAGAAACGACAGATGCTGTTGCTCTTGACAGCTTCCTAGGTTGGACTGCATGCGCGTCTTATACAGTGGCTTGGCAAATTGACCCTTCACCGATCAAGGAAGTCAAATAGATTGACAATATCCCTACTCTAGTT